GGGGAGGGAGGGGGCATGGGGAGAGGAACGGAAGAACTAGGAAAGGGGCGCTCTCCCGTCCGGGAGCGCCAGTGGCAGGGAATAACAGGAACAGGGTGGCCCAATCTGCAACCCGCAATGCGCCACTCCTGCCCTGGCGAAGGCCGGGCGCGGGGGCGGAGCGGGGCGGAGCGAGGCGGGGCGGGGCGAGGGGCGAGGCGCCACACCCTGGACCCTCGGTGGACGAGCCTTATGGGCCCACCTCGTCAAACAGTGCAAATCCCTTTCCGATTCCCCGCGCTCCCCTGAGCGTGACGTGGCGAGGCGCAGCGGGGCGAGGCGGGGCGGGGCGTGCCTAGGACGCTAACGCGATATCGACGCTTGCAAATGTACGCGCGCGACAGCAGGGAGAAGAGGGAGAAGAGGAGAGTTAGTTCAGAGCGAGAGGGAGAAAAAGAGACGGAAAGGGGGAGGGGTGTGTGTAAAAGAGCGAGAAAGAGAGAGTAGGAGAGAGAGGCGGAAATAGCAATATCCTGTGAGCCGTGGATCAGAAGAGGAAACGGAGAGGCGCGCGGACTCCGGGGAAGGAGGGGAGAAAAAAATTAAAACGGCATGGAGACGGGCAGCACGAATCACTTGAATTCCTACTTCAACAGGGTGAGAGGAGGGAAGGGGCGTGGGGAAAGAAATGACATGACTGTGGGGGCGGGAGTGAGAGAGAGAGAGGGAGGAGAAGGAGAGACATAGAGAGGGAGGGAGGAGGGAGCTGATGATCATGGCTTCGGCAATAACACAGGCCGAACCTCGCATGGTTCACATTGGAAACCAATTGCACACAAACACAAAAGGCATTCCAGGACACGAGGCGCCACTGCGCCCGGGCTGCGCCGCTGGCGGGAGGGGCGACACCACACGACACACTCATGCACAAGTACAGTACTCACATTGGCGTAGGGGGCGTGCAGCTGCGCGCGGGGGCCGGAGCGCTGGGCGTGGGCGTTGGGGCCCGACATGGTGGCGGCCACCGGGCCGGGCACGGGGCCGGTCCGGTAGTAGGCAGAGGTGTACAGGGGCGCAGGGTACAGGGCCTGCTGGCCGGCCTGCGGGGAGGCGACGGCGCCGGCCAGGGGCCCGTGGGCGCCGGCGGGCGGGGCGGGCTGCTGGACCTGCTGTATCATGGTGGCGACGGCGAGCTGAAACGGACCAAAGGAGAGCATCGTCAGTCTCAACTTCTGCATCAGTCGATCGGCCCGGAACACAAGCCCTGCGCAGGTGAAGGGCACTACCCGAGGGAGAGCAGCGACCTGGCAGCCAGCCTCCAAGAGTTATTTACTGGCCGCTATGACATGCCCCTCTCCGCTCCCCGCCCCTCGCGCGGATCAGGTGCACTCAGGTGCACTCCTCCCGGGGCCCGCGGCTGGGCACGGTGCACCACGACGGCATGCCCGTGGCACACCTTCAGAACCGCCCGGCCCGGTTCGAGCCGAGACGTATACACAGCGGAGTCGTGCCACGCCCCGCCACGCCACTATCGCAAACCGGATCCAGCAAAATCCTGCAAGAGCGTTGCATCGCAGTCACGGAGAGAGGCCCTTGCAGGAGAGAGATAAAGGGGGGGGGGGGGCGTCAGGAAACGAGTAGCCAGTCATGCGACCGAAGACGGGAGAGGGGATAATAATAATAATAGTGATGATGATAAAAGAAAGAGGGGTGGGGGCAAAAACTCACGGCTCATCAGGTTTGCGATGAGCTCGAGCAAGCCCACGAGCAACGCCCTCCGCCTAGGCTTTTGCAGCGCCAGTAATGAGAGCCTTTAAAGCCAACCCTCCGCCGCCGCCCCGCCCCACCCCCTCCGGAAGGAAACAAAAATACGTAATCATAAAAGTTGCAATAATAAATTTTC